GTACGAGGCAACTCCGCTTTACCTAGTGTATGGCTCCGAGGCCTTAATTCCAGTCGAAGTCGGAGAACCCAGTCCAAGGTTTTGACATACATCGGAGGAATCGAACCACGAGGTTATGAATACTAGCATCAAATTATTGGATGAAAAATGAGAAGCAGCACTTGTTCGAATGGCTGCACAAAAGCAACGAATCGAAAGGTACTATAATAGAAGAACCAACCTCCGCCACTTCAGGGTAGGAAACTTAGTCCTAAGGAAGGTCACCATCAACACTCGAGATCCTACTGAAGGAATGCTCGGCCCAAATTAGGAAGGACCCTATCAAGTCCTCGATATAATCGGAAAAGGGTCTTATAAACTCGGAACGGTGGATGACAAACCATTACCAAACAACTGGAACATATCACTTCTCAAACGATATTATTGTTAAGGTATGATTTTCTCCCTCCTTTCGTCCATATATGTTCGACACTAACACATTGCAGGAGTTCGACCAAAGACATCGAGACCTCAGGTTTTAAAGTACGCGTTCCACTCTTTTTCCCTTAGATCGGTTTTTGTCCCAACTGGGTTTTTCCGACGAGGGTTTTAACGAGGAAACAACTATGTGCTACCTGAGAATAATTCAACAGTATCCAAGGCCTCCTTACAGTCAACCTCGAATAATAGGGGGCTTTACCATCAAATAAATCAAGTTCGATACAAGAAAGTTATTTCATATCAAATTCATGTCAAACAGGGTCTCGATAGAGAAAAGTGTAAGGGCCAAATGGTCAAAACAAACCATGTCTGCATAGTTTTGCTCGAGCCTGACGCGAAATACGAACACATGTATAATGACTTATAAAGAAAAAACTTCTTCTTTACCGATATCTCATACTTTGAAAAGTCTGTTCTACTTCATGATTCAAATAGGCTTAAGGGCCGACCACTATCGAGTTCGAGCAATTACTCACTTGACCATAAAGCCTACGGGCTGTAATACTTCGAGTTTGAGTTCAAGCAATCACTCACTCGACTATTAAGCCTAAGGGTTATATTACTTCGAGTTTGAGCAATCACTCACTCGACCATAAAGCCTGCGGGCTGCAATACTTCGAGTTCGAGTTCGAGTTCAAGCAATCACTCACTCGACTATTAAGCCTAAGGGCTATCTTAAATAGAGTTCGAGTAATCACTCACTCGACCATTAAGCCTACGGGCTGCAATACTTCGAGTTCGAGTTTGAGTTCAAGCAATCACTCACTCGACTATTAAGCCTAAGGGCTATCTTAAATAGAGTTCGAGTAATCACTCACTCGACCATTAAGCCTACGGGCTGCAATACTTCGAGTTCGAGAAATCACTTACTCAACTATTGAGCCTAAGGGATATATTACATCGAGTTCGAGCAATCACTCACTCGACTATTAATCCTAAGGGCTATTTTACTAAAAATTCGAGCAAACACTCACTCAACTAAATCCTCAAACTTATGAACATTTTCATAAGACACAAGTAAAACAAAATCTTCACTATGCAGAAATGAAAACAGAGACAAGTTGGGAAAAGAAAAGACCTTTATATATATGTTTACAAAACATTCGATCAGGACCTTACACGAAAAGATCAAAATAAGAAAAACTCTAATTATCTACAGGAGCAGTATTTTCTCCATCGGACTCCTCCCCACTCTAAGACCCTCTCTTGCTCCTATCACCGTCATCGTCATCATCATCATCATCGTCGTCGTCATTATCATCGGAGGCCAAGACCCCAACATCGGCTTCAAGCTCTTTTGCCTTTGTTATCTCTTCAGTAAGATTGAAGTCTCGAGCATGGATCTCCTCGAGGATTTCTCTCCGAGATTGGCATTTGGAAAATTCGACAATCCAATGTGCTCGAGTTCGAGCTGTCTCGACTACTTCTCTCGCGTGTGACTGAGAGGCCTCAGCATCGGCCCGATAAACAGCCACAAATGCGTCTGCATCGGCCTTTGTCTTTTCAGCCCTGGCAAGTTCAAAAGCCAACCGAGCCTCGAGCTCCTCTGTTTTCCTTGCTTGAACCAAGCTTTTCTCCTTCAGACTTTGAAGTTGATTTTCGGCCGATGATAATTGGGCTCGAGCAGCCTCTTTCTCTGTAGCAAAGTGGTCCATATTTCCTTTCCATATCAAGGACTCCGCCTTTATCACATCGACCTCCTCACAGAGCTTCCCGGTCATCTCAAGCTTCTGCTGCAACTATGAGACTGATATTTTAACTATTATTCCAGTATCGAGTCCATAGGCTTTTAATAGTGTCATTACCTGCTCGGACAGATCGGTCTGATCTTGGTGAGATTTGGCCAACTAAGCTCGGAGGTCCTTGATTTCTTTTCCCCTTTGCGCTAAGAGGAGTTTAAGTTCCTTCCTCTCCTCCGTGTCCCGTTGGAGATCAGCCTCGTACCGACGCAGCTTAGCTCGGGATCGAGAACATGCTTCTCGATGAGCTACCATGGCCTACGAAGAAAGAAGAAACAAAGTAAGAAAAGAAAAACAAACATAAGAGATAATACCAACAAAATAATTTAAGGCTTACCTGATTCAAAGCCTGCTGCACTCCGTGAAAAAGATCTGATGCATCACTAGTGCCGGCAGCGTCCTCAACACCGGTAAACAGGTCACAAAAAGGATCCTCTCCCTCATGAGACCTGTCTAGTTTGAGGGCCCCCAAATCTTGGGCTTCCCGAATCGAACCTTCGGAAAAAGCAGGGAAGGTGGGCGAGTCTTCGATTGCGGCTGCCCCAAGTGAGTCACTTGGTGCATTCTCTTCGGTTCGAAGAGATTCGAGGAGAGCCCCTTCAGACATATCCCCCATCCGTTGGCTTCGATGGGAAGCATCCTTGATCTCCAATGACTCGGGGACTCTGCCCGAATCTCTCTCCGATATATCCTCAGTTCGAGGCAGAGCCTTATAAACCGCCATCGATCAAGCTGCATGTGGAACGTCGGTGGTCTTCTTCGATCGGGCCACCAGTACGGACCCGTCGTCTTCCTCTTCCTCATCTTCATCCCTTAGACGTTGAACCGATTCTAAGGTCAAAGGGATGGTCTTCTTCCTCGACTTACGAGTCGACCTAGCCTTCGGTTTTGGATTTTCGAAAGTAGAGGCTCTTTTTCTCTTATTTCCATCCGCCGGTTTAGAAACCGGGTCCGAGGCTTCTTCCTCGCCGGGTAGGGGCCTCAAAACCCCATCTCTGTCCAGGCCTACACACAATAAAATCGGTTGAATATGTGGAAAATATTTTGTTCGAACTATAAAAATATGAGAAATAGGCTTACCATGATTTTTGTCCTCCCATCGGCCCTTTGCCAAATCACGCCACGAACGTTTGGCGTATGTGGAGGTCGAAGCCAGGGCACATACCCAGCTCTTAAGATCGGGAATGGCACCGGGCATCCAAGGAACTGCTGCATCACAAAAGAGATATCAGCAAGAAAGAAACAAAGAGACAAGGCGATAGGAAATAAGCAGCAGAATTACACTTACGCTCCATATTCCATTCTTCAGGGAATGGCATCTTTTCGGCTGGGATCAGGTCCGAAGTCTTCACTCGAACGAACCTGCCCATCCAACCTCGATCCTTGTCCTCGTCTATGCTCGAGAATAGTACCTTGGTAGTCCGGCGTTGAAGTTTTATTAATCCACCTCGAAAGAGGCGGGGACTATACAATCTAATAAGATGATCGAGGGTGAAAGGCATCCCCTCGATCTTGCTTGCAAAGAAACGGATCAGGATAACAATCCGCCAAAAGGAAGGATGAATCTGACCTAGAGTTATTCGGTATTGACAACAAAAATCGATGATAACAAGGTTGAAAGTTCCTAACGTAAAAGGGAAAGTATACCCACTAAGGAACCCTTCCATATGGGTGGTAATATCTTCATCGGGAGCCGGAATTACCACTTCATTGTTATCCCAGTTGCAATCTGTCTTTAACTATGCAAGTTGCTTTTTGGTTATTGAGCACAAATACCTCAATACCGTCTCACACCGACCGAAAACCAACGAGCCTTTATCGACCTTAAAATCGGAGGTGAGAAGACACGTTCCGGGAACAAACTCCTCAGGCCGTGGCTCCACCAGTGTTTTATCGGCGGCGGGCTGTGAAGAAAAAGCCTCTTCTTTTTTAGGGACGGTTTTTGATGTTTTCACCATTTTTTAAATTTAGAAGAACGAAATAAAAAAGATGTGGTGTTTCAAAGAAAGATTTTGCAGTAATAACCACAGAAGGAAAATTTCGCACTTAATTCAGAAGGTATGAGAAAATGCTTAGGAAATTTTGAGATTAGAAGATGTAAAAGTGAATAATGGTGAAAGAAGGGGATATTTATAGGCTGAGCAGTAGCGGTCTAATATCGGTAATGGCCGACCACCGTCTAACGCGCATTAAATGCCTCGGTAAACTGAACCGATGGGACAACTATCGTGTACGTCACGATCGGATTCGATGCATACGTCAGTATATATCTAATCGTACCGTTGGAAAATTATATCGTTTCTCGTTACATTCTTCCCGAGAAATGCGGGGACTATCTGTATACGGTCAAAACCGATTAGTTCGTCGTACGGACTGGTCGATATGATAATACTTTGATAGAAGGGCGACTTCGTAATACCAGGTCGAGGCCCGAAGTCAGGTCATCAAGTTTCGAGTTCTAGGACCAATCAATGACAAGCTCGGTATCATTATCGAGCTCATATCCAAATCGAACTACGGGGCGAGGCAAAATTATCGAGCTTAAGATGCATAGACTGACCGACACCGACCCCGAATCAATACCATACTCCGAGTCAGAATCGAGCTCGAGTCAAGATCGAGAGCTCGAGTCAATATCGAGCTCACAGACAAGAGCCGTTGCAACCACACTAGGAGGGAGAATCCTGGCAGGAATTAGGGAAAAGCTAGTTCTGCATGGGTTCCCCACTATGTATTTTTTATTATATCTAAAGTAGGATCCCTCCACTATAAAGGGGGTGATTATTGTTTCTGTGAGGAGACATTCAGACATTGTAACAAAAGATTATTCCTTATATTGAAAGATCAATCCTTTGAGCTTTCTTACTTAATCTTATCTGGTCCATTTATTTCCTCTTTTTAACAGTTTTTATCTTTCGTTCTTATAGTCAAGATTGGATATTTTTATTTCTCTTTACGATTTGTATCAAGCTATACCACATACTATTAGAACTATGTACAAATTCAACTCTATCTGATTTTTCGGGTAAACAACTAATAATATAGAAAATCTCTCTTATAGAAGAAGATCATAGATGCGGATTCATTCCGAGCTAACTTCAAAGGTACTGCCTAAAAATATACTCCCTCCGTTTCAATTTAGATGAAGTTGTTTGACTCGGCACAGAGTTTAAGAAATAAAAGAAGACTTTTGAAACTTGTGGTCTTAAAAACTGTTTTTAAGGGGTAAAAGCTTTTTGGGGCCATGACATTTGTGTGGTTATAAAATCTTCTCATTAAGGGTAAAGTAAAAAGTTTAAAGTTAAACTATTTCCTATTATAGAAAAGTGTCATTCTTTTTTGAATGGACTAATAAGCAAAGTGTGTCATCTAAATTGAAACTAAAATAGATTAGTGTGTTAGTATACGTTACTTAAAATGCATTTTATATTTAGAGAATTTTAAAAAGTAAAACAAAATAAATAGGCCTTTTAAAATAATTAAAGATAATGAGAATAACCTCCAAATAATCTCCGAGGTTGACGACGAAAGTGCCAGGGACATGAGGGACGGAAAACCAGGCGTGATTGTGTTTAATTTGCAAGCCATGAATGCCATTGTCCATCAAAATAGTGAGACCGCCATGATCAGAATGTGCAGCAAGTCCCAAAGTTTTATTGGGCTCAGGACAAGGCGGATAAAAATTTGCAGCCATGATTTGAGTCCCTTCTCCAAGTCTCCTCTCTATGTACTTTGTATCAAGACCTAATCCTTCAGATATTGTACCAAATATTTTTACTGCAAGCTGCCAAACCGCCTCTAAGTACACCTTTGCTATGCGCCTTCGCATACATGTAACAAAAGGATTATATCAATCACAAAATGTAAAAATTAAATACTTTATATAAGAATATTAATTTCGGAATAGAATATGAGATACGTAATATTTATCACATGTTAGGTTATGGGTATTAGCTGATGATAAGATAAATTTTATATCAAAATAGTGTAATTAAAAATTTCATATAGAAAATGAGATAACTAATTTCATGAGATATTCTTGTCGGACAATTGAACCAATGACCCCTAAGTGTTACCCTAGTCACTCTAAAAAGAAAATAAGGTTAGGAGTATAAAGGACAAATCATTTATTTTCCTTTGAAGTAGGACATCGATTCCCTAATTTTTGTAAAATTCACATATATAGCTAGTAAATACACCAAAAATACTCGTTAACATATTATACAAAATATATCTAAAGCTTCAAAAGTTTCTAATAATTTGTTTTCACTCTCCAAGATGCTGCATAAAAGGGGAGAGAAGACAATTAACCATAGAAGAATGAGCCAAGATAACAAAACTTAAGAGTTTAAGTTATATACAGTAAATTGATTTAAAACTATTTGGCAATTTAACCGGTGATAAAAAGTAAATTTTTACTCTATATATTTTCGAAGTTATCGAAAATTGCCCGTATTGATCAACTTAATTTCATAATATAAAAAATCTTTAAAACATAAATGCTGGTAAATGTGAAGCATGTAGAAAATTACCTGTAGCAAGGGGGATTATCTGGCCAAAGGTGATAGCTATGTGGAACTGGACCGCCGTAGTGCCTCAGAAAATCCCTCCAATGGAGAGTATGCTTTCTGCTAGTGTTCAAGCTTGTTCCATATCTTACTGGATCCATCACATCTTCTGAAGCATATCTCATTTTTTCTTCTAATGGCAAATTAAAAAATTCTTTTACAGCTTTAAGCATTTCATCCATGACAGATATCTCTATACCATGATTAGTAACCTGTGGATTTTGCAATCACATAATTTATTTTAAAAGGATTTCACTACATTTTTAAAATCATACAAGGAAAATAATATTATTCACCCCGTTCCAAAAAGAATGAAATAGTTTTAAAGTATTTTTATTGAAAAACTTTTATATTCACACAAATGCTATAACATGTTTAAAATCACAAGTATCAAAACTTTTATCGTCACACAAATATTATAACTTATTTAAAATTATAAGTTTTAGAAGTCTTTCTTTCTTTATTAAACTTTGTACCAAACAAAGTGAGATGGAAGGAGTACAAGGGCCGGCTCTAATGTCTTTATTAGTAGGCTTGTGCCTTAGGCCCCCAAATTTTGGGGGAGGGAGGGGGGACATTTTTAAAAATTAATAGGTGTATATGCATTTAAAAAATAATATTTAGTACTTTAATACAAAAGTAAGAGTTTTCAATATAAAAGAAAAGAAAGCTCTTTAGATACATAAATAAAGTAATAATTTGACTTACTGAATAGTTTTTCCAACGTTTCAATTTTTCACTTCTTACTCCTTCATTAGATAATGTGTAAAAATTTTACTCTCCCTTTCTTAATTTGTCTAAGTCAATCTTTCTTTTCCCGATCTCTTCATATTTCAGAAACCCCTACATATTTTATCTTTCTCTTTAATATTTTTACTCGCCTTCTTTCTCCGAGAAATTTAAGCTTCCGATAGTTTTATACTTCAATTGCTCTATAAAATCTTATCTAAAATTAACAATATCTCAAGAAAGATTAAATGAGTCAACTATATTATCAATTGAAAATGAATTATTAGGGAAAATCGAGGATTATTAACACTATGTATCTCAAAAAGCTATAAAAATAGACTTTAAATAAAAAAAAATATCGTATAACTTTCTTTTAAAATTTAGGCCTCATATTAAATTTTATTTTTAGGCCCGGTATATACTTGAGAAGTCCCTGAATAAGAAAAACACAACACATGACCCTAAGAAGTTGTAAACAAAGGCAAAACACTATCACTGAGCAGTGAAAAAGAGAGAAGGAAAGAAACGGAAACTAACTTAATTACCCTAAAGAATCCCCATTCAGCAGAGGCTGAACTAATGGCATGTATTGTTGCTAGTCTTTGCTCAACAGGTCCATTTAGGCCACTCAAATCTATAACTGGAATGGAACCACAGATCGCCAAAGATGGGCTTTCGGCTTCCGGCAGTGGCAAAACAAACTCGGGAGGCAGAATTTTCATGTCCTTTGAATTGTCAATTAGGTACTTCACACCTTTTCTGCAATAATCAACGTCCACAATATCCCTGCTAGTAACTGAAGGTGAATTGCCATTATTGCTGGTGGAAGCCGGAGAGGGAGAAATCGCCGTTAGAGCCATTACTGGACCGTCGTATAGAAGATTATGGTTCTTGGCTTTTTAGTTTTTCATGAATTCCTTTGCCAATTGCCACGCGTTGTTGTAGTCGGAGCTATAAGACTAGTGGCATTGTCCATGCAGATGAGACATTTTCTGTTCTTTCCTTTGCCAGTTTCAAATTTTGGAATCTAGATTCTAGCTAACGGAAGTAACGATGCTCTTTTACAAGTTTAAGATGGAAGGCTAATTATATATGAAGAATTAATATATGTTAGTGCGTTGGTGTTATATTAGGCTCCCAATCAGGAGTTTAACAGCTAGTTATTGTCTTAATTTTCTTTTCCAGAACATCTTATTCTTATAATTGGGCGCTAAAATATTTTAGTTTGGGGCAGTAGAATTTATGTGGAGTAGCAATTATTTCCAATACAAAATTATGAAGCTTTAATAAGTTCTTGAAAGGTACGTGTGTACAGACTAATTCGCAAACTCACAATGAGAGCCAAAACACATTTGATTAAACTCCCAAAATTAAAGAAGGAAAATACTCTTATATGGGTTGCGTATAATCCTAGCCATATTGATACAACGCGATTTTTGGGGGCTTTTTTCACTTTAGCCCGCGTCAAAAATTATTTACATTCTGTAACCGTAAAGATATATAAAATTTGTATAATTTTTATATATAACATACAATACATTTTTTTTTGCTATTATTTTAAGAGCGGCTATACGTTTTTATTTTATTTTTTGTATGTATGTCTGGTGGGTCATTCGTTATGTTGACGGCCTTTTGTTTTGGGTCATGGAGTATGGGACTGTAAAGCCTGCCAAAACGGGATAGAAAGCCCAAAACGAACATATTCATAAAATCTCAATCAAACATAAAATCTTCTTTTGGGTCAATTATTTCAAATCTCAATGCACAAACAGAATTTTGATACTGGCCAATTTACACCGTTTGGGACATGTTTTTGGGCATCTGTTATACAGCAGCATAGAGTGGATAACATTCTTTCCGAAACTATAATGGCAGCTCACAGATTAAATATTTCTTCACAAGGACATGTAATGAGGTTGAATGATATATATGAACAACTGAATTGAAACAAATTTATCCCTGAAAAAAAGAGGTTATATGGGGACTGTAAGGGACATGTTTCAATGCTTACAACTTGAAACAAACCTTTCTTTTTGTGGATGAATAAATACAGACCGTCGTACATTGTTATAAAAAGAAGTGTTTAGCTTTTTTGTATATTAACATTAAGAACATCCTTAGGAATATCATTTAATATATCTCGAATACTTTTACAAAATTATGCTGCATCCTAAATTCAATTATTTCAAGTCTTGATCCAGACATCAATTATGGGATGAAATTCAAAAATAGCCAGATTCACAAGTGATAATTTAAAAATAGCCACAGTTTCAAAAGTAATCGAAATTTAAGCACTTTTCATGTAAAGATAAATCTGAACGAAAACACAATTCAAAATCCGAAAAATATTCCAGCATAATATACTAGAGTTCGAATTTTTTACATGTGAACTTCCAGTATAATATATTGGTCCAGCATAATATGCTGGAAGTTCATACACAAGTGCTCAAATGTCCAATATATTATGCTGGAACTTTCTGTGTTGCAGCAAAATAGTGGCTATCTTTCAATAACTTTGCAAACACCGACTATTTTTCAATTACCAGTTCGAAAACTGGTTAACCCGCACTATTTTTACTCAATTATGTGGACTGCCTTCTTGGTGATCACCGAGTGACCAACTAAGGGCCTGAAAAACGCCCACCAAAGTGGAGCCTAATTTTCAAGAAAATTATACAAAATAACTATTAAACTTAAACTAATTACCCTAAATACCCATTCATTCCTTAAAAACTGAAAATTTGGCTTGCCTTCGCTTAATGGGCATGCTAATGGAAGGGTAATTATTTTGTCTCCTAGAGCTATTCCTGAATTTTTTTCATTTTGAATAAGTAATAGCTGAATGGTAAAAAAAAAAGAGGAGGGGGTGGGCCGACGGAGGGACATTTGGCAAGAAATGGCGTTGTATAGTCACTTTTTTAAGTGGTATTTATTTTTTAGCCAGTATTTTTAATGTTGAACAAAAATAGCCACTACTCTATTAAAATTGATACAAAAAGTCATTTTTACCCTTTCTTCATAAGTGATGTGTAATATTAAGGACATGACGTCCTTAATTTCATGAGTGTTATGTAAATATTAAGGACAAGCCATGTCTTAATATTTTACACATCACTCATGAAGTTAAGAACACCATGTCCTTAATATTTTACACATCACTCATGTAGTTAAGGACACCATGTCCTTAATATTTACACAATACTCATAAAGTTAAGGACACTATATCATTAACATTTACAATGCACACATGAAATTAAGGACACCGTGTCCTTAACATTTATACTGCACATATGAAGTTAAGGACATGATGTCCTAGAGTTTAACAACAAAAGGTGCAAATACAAGTTAAGGACATTATGTCCTTAACATTTACATTGCACACATGAAGTTAAGGACACTATGTCCTTAACATTTACGTTGCACATATGAAGTTAAGGACATGATGTCTTAAAGTTTAACAACAGAAGTTGCAAATACAAGTTAAGGACATTATGTCCTTAACATTTACATTGCACACATGAAGTTAAGGCCACCACGTCCTTAACATTTATACTGCACATATGAGGTTAATGACATGATGTCCTAAAGTTTAACAGTAGAAGGTGCAAATACAGGACACTTTATCCTTAATATTTACACAACACTCATGAAGTTAAGGACACTATGTCCTTAATATTTACACAACACCCGTGGACACCACGTCCTTAACATTTACACTACACATATGAAATTAAGGACATGATGTCCTAACGTTTAATAGCAGAAGGTGCAAATACATGATACTTTATCCTTAATATTTACACAACACTCATGAAATTAAGGACACTATGTCCTTAATATTTACACAATACCCATGTCTAGCACAAGGATATTTTTGTTCAGGCGGGTAAAAATTTATTAAGCACTGGCTAAAGAGTAAATACATTTAAAACAATGGCTAAAAAGTAAAGACATCTCTAATTAATGGTTATTTGTGCACTTCCCCCGACATTTGGAGAGTGGATGAAGTCTTGCTTAAGAGTTAGGTTCATATTATCTGTCTTTTAACAATTTTTTACACTGCATATAGAAAAAAGTGAGAGTTTTAAGGAAACTATAATTTATCTAGGTTCCTTAAATGTCACAGTTAATCAATATTTCACTAATTTGAACATAAAGGATAAATTAGGAAAAAATAATAAACAAATTCTTTTTTTTATAACATCAAATATTTTAAAATAAAATTTAGTTTGTCAAAGTGATTAACTTTTTTTTTTTTTGAGAACGGAGAGTATTAAATTCCAGAGGCTCCTTAACTTCTATACTCTAGAAGCACAGTGACTACAGTCCGGGGTCTGGGCTGTGAGCAAAGAAATGTCGAGGAATATACTGCTGGGCTGCCTTTTTGAGTGTCTTTAATCTTTATTGATTGAACGGAGATTAAAAGGAAAAAAACAAGAAAAAGAAAAACGAGCTCCAGATTGCTTGGGACTTTCAAATAAAATTATGAGTAATACCTCTTAGTCTAATAAGTCATAATAAAAAGTGTATTAAGTAAATAAAAGGAACACAATTAAAATTAGGCCAACTGCAACACTTTGTTTTGGAAAACCCTCAAAACATTAAATAATGATACATTATAAGTGCATATCAGTCAAACAACATTTATAGTTACATCAACTTTTTTTTTTAAAATGAAGCGTATTTTATTTTAAAATATGGATTTAATCATTTTGATAAAACAATGAAAACCGTATCTTGTAATGAGCAACTCTTGGAGTGTGAACTGCCTGTTGATGATAAAACTTAATGAAAGAGGTAGATCAAAGGCTTGTTTAGATGAGGAAACCACCTTTAAATAACTTTCATATAGTTTTGACAACTTGTCAAATTATCAATGATGGCCTCAGGGGAAATAATTGGCAAATATTAACATGATAATCCCAAAATCTACTTATTATGCTAATTAAGTGTGATAAACTTGTCTGATAGCACCAATGATTTCCTACAGATTAATGTGGTAATTTGCAGGTCGCTAGAGTTTAAGTACAATTATTTGCTCTTCCTTTTTGGTTTAGTTTTATGTGCTATGTAAGTAGCCCTACTCGGCACGGACCACCATGATTATTCACTCATAACCTGCCAATTTAATTTTAATAACAAGCGTATACTTAATGAAGTGATTTATGTATTAGAATTTAGACCCCTTAACATATATAATTATAACGCCCTGTTGTAGGAACCCATCTGACAAAGTTAATTCTCCATTATTTTCTCTGGCCTGTGAAGGTAAATATATCATTCAATTGATTCCGGTGCTTCATTATTCTCTATATTAATTAATACATAATCTGCAGTTTAGGCCGGTGTAACTTTATGTTCACAGGCCACCAAAAAGTGATGCTTGTGGGTTTTGGTGTAGGTTTATAATAACAAAATTTATTATATAGAAAATACTTGTGAGAAACAGTTCTACATTTGAATTAGCTTTTTTTTTTTTAAAGGCAAATATATATGTTTTTCGAGAAAATTGATTGAAATGGAAAAATACTATCGAGGTGTTATATATATAATAGAAAGAAACTTACTAAAGTGAAAAACAAGTTATATAGAATGATTGCAAGACTAGCAATATTACATGAGATTGAATGTTGTGCTTCTAAAGTTCAACATATTTATAGAATTAATTAGTGTCGTAAAGAATAGATGCTAAGACATATAAGCAATCATTATAAGATTAGATAAGATTATAAATGTTCACAATCGATAGAAGGTGCAAGTAGATCACATAAAGGATTATATAAGAGGTTCCATAAATGATTTGGATATGTTTTACGTCATCCTTCAAATGCAACTGTTTATAAATACCTAAATCATGGTG